ATAGAATTTGGCGATAGAATCACTACCAGGCATTTCCTTTTACTTTCTTACTACAGTTTGTGACAAAAGGATAGGTGGCTCGACTTTTTTCGTAATTTTCTCAGCGATTTGGTATGTAGGCATCCTGACCTGTAGCTCGTTTTGTAGCCCGAAAAAAGGCGAATTTTTTGGTATACTTTTCACGACTCAACAATGAAACAGCAGATTTTTATAACCATTTTAGATTTTCACTAGGCTATCTCATTCCCAGGGCCGTTCGCTACACACCAATACAAACGACCGTCAAAAGCCCGGCACATCACAGAAAATTCAAACGAAATAAAAATCGCCTTTGTTTTGATACTTTTTGAACTCAGTTTTTTTAGTTCTTAGTATCATTAGACTCGCCGTCTCCCATTCTATAAAGTTGGAACAAGCTTTTTTTAAGTTAGGTCTTATCTTTCAAGATATAAGCCTCCAAAGTTTGGGCCCCATACATTTTCTTGACGAATGGAGCGTCGCGTTGCTTAGGCCTTTATTGCCGCTAATTTTGGGCGTGGGCATTTTTTAACCAATTCATAGAATTGGACGTTATTCGAGGAATAATCGTCGATAGCTTTTTTACTTTTTACCAGGGTTGAAAACCGCTTCGCGGCTTTTCAACCCTGGCCCCGTCAAGGACCTATGAAAATACTGCTTTGCATAATCCTCGCCGGAAAACGATCAGCAAAAATGAAAAACACGCCCTCTCTACCTTTTTATAAGCCACCTCCACTTCCGGCGTATGCTAATTTCTCCATAATAAAGAGGGAAGCCAATGTTTTTACAAAAACCTAATTTTAATTTTATATTTACTTTTTATTTTTATACTGCTAAATAAGCGTTAAATTTAAATTTCCTCGATTTAGGGAATTTGGCGGGAATTTGCGATTTAATTTGATCAAGCTTCTTCAGGCTTGATGCCTATTTTTAAAACCCTGGGTTTTTTCTGGATTTCGCCACCTTTTGCTCCAATTTCCAACCCAGCGTCACCGCCCAAATTTTGATCCTGAACCCCATAAATTCTCGAAAAATCAGGGCCCTCTCCAGGGCGTCGGGTGTGTGTATGCATGCAATCAGTGAAGATTGATAAGGGACATCACGCGTCGGCAGATTGGTCAGCTATTCACCCCCGGCAGCACTCTCTGCTAGCTGCCAATCGGCCACCCTCACTTTGAAGCCCACATTTTTTGAGGGGTTTTCGCGTATTTTCGGGATGCTTCGTGGCAAAGAATTGGCTCATTCTTGGTGCTTTTGCGTTATCGGGGGGGGGGCATAAAAATTTTTTCTGAATTTCGATCTTTTTTCTGGTATAAATAGAGGAGTATTCTAAACCATTTTGTGCGATTTCTAGGCGTAAAAATCTGCCAAAAACCCTAGATTTTTAACAGCTTTTAAACTTTTTGAAGTAGTTGTTTACTGTAAATATGGTTAAATCCACTGAAAATTAACTAAAATACGGAGTATTAGGCTACTAGGCATTTCTGGACTAATAGAAAAAAAACACCCTCCCCTGATAATACTTAAGCACCTGGAACCCGGTCATTTTTGGGGGTTGTGACAAGATTTTCTGAAAGATTCGCGGCACAAAGAAGGCGCTCTTTCTTTGCCACAAGCCATATGGGCCATGACTAACATCTCGTTCGTGTCTTCGACTCGTCGATTTGTGAACGCACGGCCGGCTGCAGCCGGTCATCGATTTCGCACGTAGTTTGCTAGATATTTTCGGCAAAAGTGCTTTTTGATCATCTTCCGGGGGTTTAGCTGGTTTCTAAATTTAGATGCCTCGAGTTCACACCATTTAGTAAATTTTTAGCTTTTAAATTTTCTAGAAAAATTTATATGGCATTTTGGCGCATTAATACCGTCGCACAATTCCTCTAACTTTCCTTTCATGACTTCCCAAGTTCTTTTAGTTTGTTATTAAACATTTTATCGTTTTTTTTGTATTTTAGAACTTTTAAAGGAATTTTTAAGCCATAGATATAACGAAGAAATATAATTTGAGGTCTAATTTATCTAGAAGGCTAAAAAAATTCACTCGCCAAGCGATTGAGTGCATTTTTAAACATTGCGACGTTTTTTACTTTTTAAAACTTCAAAAATTCTTTTTAAGCTATAAAAACCGCTAAAAAAATTCCATTATGATGCCAAAATTGGAAACAGCGTTTAGCAGAGGTCCATTAGAGCTTTTTTTTGCCCTGAATCGTCTCGATCTTGAAATCTGAAGCTGGATTTTTTGGCTAAAAGCTCGCTGCCCGATCACTTTGATCAGATTGGCTGTCAACCGGGGCACGAGCCGCCCTCTTCTCCCCCATCGACTTCACCCTCCCCGATTTCAGCCTCCCCCTTTAGTCATAAAATAAACAAATAGCCCCCTCCCTTTCTGTCCCCTACAGGCCCATTCTCACTTTTGGCGCTCTCTAGTCGATAGCCCGAATCGTGATTGGGGGTGGTTTTTAAAGGGCTTGGCAAGGGATGACATAGCTTTTCTTTACAATGGATTTCCGAACTAGACATCTCCCGCGACACGCAACGCGTCGTGTTCGATTACGCAATGGAAACCAGGCCGTCGCCGACGCGCAAAACTCTTAGAAAATCCATAATAATATAAGCACGAAATCGCCTATAGATTCGCCGCGCCCGAGATACGCGACGCGCGCCAGTTGCCTACCCGGGACGCGTGGCGTTCGCTTATGCAATCGAAAAACGGGCGCGCGCGTTGCGTATTGCGGGCGCGGCAAAATCCGTAAGGAGCCCAACCCAATGCCGTAACCACCCTCTGTATGCAGCGAAAATACGCGTTTTTTACGATAAACTCCCCATAAATCAGCTGCGACCGCGACCCGCAACGCGTGAGAGGATTCGCCGCCAGCGCTGCGTCGTATTCGAACACACAATGAAAAACATCGGGACGCGTTGCGTGTCGCGGGCGCGGCAAAATTCATGGTATTCATTTTCCATCATCATCTCCCTGTCACGCCACCTTTAAATTAATTCAACGCCCCCGATCCTCGACCCCATCCAATTTACCACAAATCGATATCCGGCGAATGGCCATCGGGTTGGGGTCCCGGTTTCGAAGCGCCGAAATGCGACACAGCTTACATCCATCCCTGTGGCCCAATGTAGACCCCCAGCCAGAGCACCGCCACCGGGAATTCGAGCCGCAGCGCAAACAAATTCCATTTCGCTTCAATAACCGACGATGAGGGGGACCCTGGCTCCCTCGGGCTCGGCACATTGCCTTTTCTACCCCGCCCAGTCACTTTTCGAACACCATTCCCTATCCCCTGGCAGATCCAATTCAAGAATTCCACTTTCCTCGCTGAGAATTGGGTTTGCCTTGTCCCCAAAATACCTAGAAAATTCTGGGAACTTCCTAAAAGTGTTAACTTGCCGTTTCAAATCTTGGACTTTCGACGATTGGGCGTTTTCTTACGATAATTTTAAAAATCAACGTTCTAACTTTTTTTCTGAGGAAATTTTATTTGTTCTTGTCGCCAAAAATGGCTAGAAAATCCTGGGGGTATTTCCAATAGTGTGACCTTGCCGTTTCAAAGCTTCAATTTCGACGTTTGGGCGTTTCCTTACGATAATTTCAAAAATCAAGGTACCCACTTTTTTCTGGAGCTTTATTTTGGTTTGTCTGGTTTTAACGTAACCGGAAAATCGCGGATTGTCTCGCCAAGAATTTGATGCTGATGTTTCAAGTTTAAAATTTTGGAAATTTTATGATTTCTTACGGCGATTCGAATATAACAATCTGAGTTTTCAAGGTCCTACTTACAACGCCCTATTTTGGCTCATCAAAGCCTCGAAAAAACTTTTCTAAACAATTTTTCAGCGCCATTTTGTCCTCCCTTGACTCACCTTCAAATTTTGAAGGGACTCTTTGGAATTTTTCTATTTCAAAACTTAGCAAAAATTCGGTTGCGTTTTTCACGAACGAAGCAGTTTTTCAAAGAGTTTGAATGAGTTAAAATGCGGCGATTTCTATAGTTTCTATTGTTCTCCGCTCTTTTTTTTTGGCAGATTTATAGGTTTTGTATCCCGTTATTAGTTTTTTTCTAAGAATTTAGAAAAATCTCATGCTTATTACCCGCTCCGCAGATTTCAGCCACTTCCTGTACCCCGTGGCCGTGTAGCAAAGCCCGCACTTCATTAGCACTTCCCGACACCCATTTATCCCCGGGAAAATTCACGGAAAATGGCCCACTTGCCCGCTACTTCGCGTCTCTGATATAATTTGTTGGCAGGATCGGGTGTACCTGTCTGCGAATACTATGATACTTTCACCCGCATTTTCCCCCAACGATTACTAGGCGGCGCCCTGTTGTGTTTGTGTGTGAGAATCGACCGTCTTTACTTTGTTATTTCGAATGACCCTGTAGTAAGCCTTCTTGTTTCCGGCTAACGACTAATCCAGTGTTTTTCTGACGTGAAAATGTAACATTTAGTGGTTTATGGTCGTTGCTCGGCGCTTTTTTCGGAAAGTGGACTTGAGCTACGCATTTCCGGCCTAGAAATCGATGTGGAATTGATTTGTTTTGGTTAGTTTTCATTAATTTCGGTTGGATTTTCGATTTATTTAGTTTTTTGGGTTTTCTACGCTTTCTGGGAAGTTTCAAACATGAAATTAATATTTTTTTTGCCACATGTTTTGGCGTTTTTGAAGCCAGCTCCTTGTTTATTTCCGGTGCATTCTCGTTCTTTCTCATTTAGGACAATTAAAATTACTAAATTTACGCTTTTCGATTCACGTCTTTTCCAGAGCTTTTCTGCGCTTTTGCGAAGTATCTTTCCAGAAATCATCAAAGCCAAGGTGCCCCCGCCCCGAACTTGATAAGTTGTCATTTTGTCACTTTTCAATTCATTCTGTGCCGTTTTCTGTCCTGTTTCCATTTTTTTTTCTGATTCATGGGTGGAAAGTCATTAAATTCTTATGTTTTACAGGTGACAAGAGCGCCTGGAAGTATCGGATGGTCACCGGCCCCCTGCGCAATCACTCCAACATCGGCCCTATATCAAGTGGCGCCGTTGTGCTTCTGCTCGTATCGCTCGTCTCGCTCGCCGCCGGCGCTCCACAAATAAATGCTCAGGTTCGCGCTTCTAAAGGGTTATCGGGCTGGATTCCTAGTAATTTCCTAATGTCTAAACTCCTAAACCCGTTCGTCCGAAAACCGCTCTTTTCACTCTGGCTATAGTGCCCCTATGAATAGATTTTTGGTGACTGTCCGCGTCTTTTTTTCGCGCCTCGTTTATCGGCACCGGCTGCCGGGCAGGTGATAATGGGCTTAAAATGCTCCTGTGATTTTTTGGAAAGACCTGGCTATTAGCGGAGCGAAAAAAACTGTTTCAAGCCGCGAAAGCTATTTTAAACAATAAAATAATCTTTTGAGGAGCTAAGACTAGCGAAAAAATAAAAGAGGCAGAAATAAGGAAAAGAAAAAGGTGGGAATTGTTTAAATTACGAATGCTATTTTTAAACAATAAAATCACGTTTTTTTTTCAGAAAACAACCTCGCTGCTGGTAGACGAGGAGCCGGACCCCGAACATATAGGGGCCCAACAGGCCCCGCGCTCCATCAACGTCATCACCATCCAGAAGGAGCCGGCCATTTCCGGTGCCCGCGTCGAGGCGCTAACCACCGAACATGAACCGGTTTTCCTGGGACACACGTCAGTTTTTATATTTTTTTAATTTATACTGGAAATTACTAGCAGTTTAATGTTTTTTCGAGTAAACATTCTCATTTTTAGCGCTCGAGGCGAGAGCATCGTGGTGCCCGACTCCCTCATCCAGTACAGCCTCTACGGCTTTTGGCTTGACGAAGTGCTCGAGGTATGATCTTAGGATTTCAATGCCTAATCGGGTCGCCTAGATCGGCTTCACCACCAAGACCTGCATCGAGCCGGAGTACTCTTTCGACCGCGAGGTATTCGGCTATCAGAGCGACAAGCGAATCACGCTGCACGCCAGTTTTGGAAGGTGGGAAAAGCTCGTTTAAATTTTTCTGCATAGATAGATCAACTTTTTTCCTACGCCCTTTTGCTATGCCGAAGCTTAAAAACGCAAAAATTCATTGAAATACAAAAATAAGAGTTTTTCGACAAATAATGGCGGATTTCGATCAAATTTTTAGTTTCGAACTTCTATAACATTTTTTCCTTAAAATATAGCGAGGTTTTTATAAACACGCTGTTAAAAATTTTTTCTATTTTTGCTATCTATTTATTTTTCGTTTCTCAAGACTTTTGGTAAATATTATAATTTAATTTTTAAGGAATTTTTCTCTAGATGCGAAACGAGTAAAAAAAAAGACTTAAACAACAACAAAAAATAATCTCAATTTGAAGCCATGACCGCGAGCTGCGCCTGTGCGTCAAACACCGCCCCAAGGACAGGGTCACCAAGCCCGAATTCGACGAGGTCGCCGAGGCGCGCACCTGGATCTCGACGCTGCCCGCCCCGAGAAAATATTATTTTCCCTTTCCCGTTCAGGTAAATATATAGTTTACTAAAGAGTATCGTTAAAATAGGAAAATAAGTATTTCCTGACTTTTTGACGCAAGATTTCTGATTTTCCGCCGAAACAAATTGTTTAGGTAACGATTCTGGCCGTGCTGCTCGTGCTCTCCGGTCTGTTCTCCGGTCTAAATCTAGGCCTGATGGCGTTGACGCCACAAGAATTGTCGCTAATTATGAAATCTGGTGCGTTTTGAACTATATAGCGTAATCGTTTATTTTTAGGCTCAAAGACCGAGCGCCGCTACGCCGAGACGATTCTGCCGATCCGTGAGCGCGGAAATCTATTGCTATGTACATTGTTGCTAGGTAACTTTTTGGCTAAAATTTTTGAAAAATAATTTATTTATCTAAAATTTATCAAAACTTATTTACATGGCATCTTTTAGGAAATGTCTGTGTAAATTCGGCAATCTCTATTCTGCTGGACGACCTCTCTTCCGGCATCGTCGCCCTCATCGGCTCCTCCGCCGGCATCGTCATTTTCGGAGAGATTTTCCCGCAAAGTGTTTGTGTCAAGTACGTTTTGCTACTCTTTTCTAATGTAAAGTTTTGAGCTTCAAATGCTATATTTTTTAATTAAAAAAACACGTTTTTCGGTATTTTCACTTAATTTTTATTTCATTTATTACAGGAAAGGCCTGGCCGTCGGCGCACACACGATATTCCTCACCCGTTTCTTCATGGTCCTCACGTTCCCCGTCGCGTTTCCCATTTCAAAGGTAGATTTTGGTGAATTAAATTCTAGTGAATTTATTATCTTGAATTGGTCTTAATTAACTAATTTTTTGCATTTTTTGACTGATTTTTTAGATTCTCGACTGGCTGCTGGGCGATGAAGTGGTTGCCTATGACCGGAAACGGCTTATGGAGCTGATAAAGGTTCGAAATTCTAAACTTTACATAACTAAATTAAACTAGTAATTTATGGATATTTTTTGATGAATTATCTAGTCGATTTTTTTAATTGATTAGTAATTCCGTTAAACTAAAAAATTTTCGCTTTAGATGAACGCGAAAGACGAAAACGGACTCCCCGACGAGCTGCGCATTGCCGTGGGCGCCATGGAGATTTCGGACAAGACCGTGTCGGACGTGATGACCAGGATTGATGTGGGTTTTTCAAAAAGTAATAATTTTAACGATTTTTCGATTTGAAAACTAAATCAGATTTTTCAGGACGTGTTCATGCTCCACAACGACACCGTGCTCAACACGAAGGCCGTGGCCGAAATTTTGAGGATGGGCTATACGAGGATCCCGATTTATTCTGGGGATCGCAATAATGTGGTACGATATAATTATTTTTATTAAATTCTAAATTAAAAGTTTTGAATTAAATCAAGGTTGTTGATATACTAAACTATATAAAAATTTTTGTTAAGTTGTAATATATTTTTTATTTTACTTAAAAAACCTTCATTTTAGGTCTCTCTCCTCTTTGTGAAAGATCTCGCCCTCCTCGACCCTGACGACAACTTTACGATACAAATGGTCACCAGCTATCACAAGCACCCGCTGCGTTTCGTGATGGAGGACACGCCGCTGAGGATCATGTTGGAGGAGTTCAAGAGGGTACGTTTATCTCTCCCACCCTCTCTTGCTGGACCCTCCTCGCCTCTCTCTCTGTCGCCCTCTACTCTCTTCTCTCTGGCCCTCTCGTCCCTCCCCCTCTTCTCTCTCTCTCTCTCTCCTCTCTCTCTGGCTCTCCTCTGGCTCTCTCTCTCTGGCTCTCTCTCTCTCTCTCTCTCTCTCCCTCTCTCTCTCCATCTATCTCTAATTTCCACATTTTCCAGGGCGACTACCATCTGGCCATGGTGCAGCGCGTAGTCGAAAAGGACGAAAAGGACCCAACCTACGACCTTGTCGGCGTCGTCACCCTTGAGGATATCGTCGAGGAGATTCTGCAGGTATTTTTTGGCATTCTTTTCTTTGCAGCTGGACAATCCGGAGGTGAATCGTATAGCGCCTCAAAATACCCCGTTCCCACGCTGGAATGCGTAATTTTGCGTGTGAATGTTTACGAAAAAGGCGTGACGTAATAAAAAACGATTTTGACGCGAATGGATTGATTTTTAACGATTTCCACTCCTAGAAATTTCGAGAAAATTGAGGTAATGTCGAAAAGTGTCACTAAATTCGTTTTTTAAAGCTTTAAGATGTAAAATTAATCGAAGCGGGCTAGCTAGCAGAAAATTTTTAGGAAATTGAAGTCTGCAGCGGCCCGTGACGCTGCAAAAACGATTGTTTCTTGGTGGTGTGGAATTTTTAACCGTTTCCATCAATAAAAAAGTTTTGAAAAGTGGTGGCATTATTTTCATGCTACTTTAAACTGCCTATTGATTTTTTACTAAATTCCGCAGGGTCGGCTGGCTAGCAAAGGTCATTTAGGAAGTCCGAATAGTTAAAAAAAATCGTTTTTTTAGGCCGAGATCGTCGACGAGACGGACGCCGTCACCGACAACGTCTTCAAGCATCGCCGTCGCGGAGCACAGGTATAATTTTCGGCTTTCCCAAGAAATGCGTTGCTCATCTCCTATTTCCCGAACTCGACCTGATATCGGGAACTGCCGCTTCCAGATTTTTCGGGGTGATTTTTGCCCAAATACGCCGGGTTCCCAAGTAATCTGGGGCAGCGATTTGCCTATTTTCTGGGGGATATTCGATAAGCGTCCGCGCTGGTTGGGGGATAATCTTGGCGCGTCGGCTGACTAATAGCCGAAAATTTGGGTGACTTGCGACCTCCAGATATACCGTAGCCACCAAAAACGTGGCTTTTTGGCTGTAACGGCTGTTTTTTCGAAAGCGTGAACTGATTGAGGGTTCTATAAATAGTAAAATAGTAAATTGAGCTATGCTTAATTTTTGAGAAGCGGAAGACCGTACCCCAAAATTTCTGGACTAAAATGAAATTTTTGAGGGGGTTTTAGGGTCAAATTCGACGTAGAATTCACTGGTAAAATAGGGAATTGTTTTTTTGTAAACTGATCACCGTAGCTCCAAAGTTTCTCCGCCTCAAGTAAGGGTTTTCAGGGACATTTTGCTTGAAATTTGGGCGGGAATTCGCTAATAAATGGAGATTTTTAAGGTTTTTTTAATTTTTTGAGAGGTTGATTACTGTAGTCCCAAAAAAGATTTCACGCTAAAGTAAGAATTTTGGGCCTTTTTTGGGCTTATATTGAGTGAGAATCCAGTGGTGAAATAGTGGGATTTTTCGCTTATTAGCGTGTGAAAATGAAAATTGTATTTTTGGGGCATTTTCTACAGTAATTCGTGCGAAATCAGTACTTTTTAGGGCGTAGAATAAATCTGGGAAATTGAGCCCTTGGCTGGGAATTTTGAACCAGAGGGGCAAATTGCGCGTGAAAATACGTTTCTTGCCAAATTGAACTTTCTGAACGCGAATTGCAAAATCTAGCAATCGGCTTAAATTGAAGTAATCTGGCAAATTACAGCCTCTTCAAGTGGAATTTTTGATGACAAGCTTGAAATTTTTCAAAGCGGTTGTTTTTGCCAATTAGCGGCATTTTGTGGAGCGCGGCTCTTGAATTCCAGGGGACAATTCAGGGCTTTTTGGGGACAAGCTTTACCGTGATTGCCGCTACAGTATGACAGCGGATTTTTCAGAGTTCAAAAATCTTTTAATAGAAAGCTTAATGGATAGGTGGCTGTTTTCTAGAGAAAAACGCATAATCTCTGCTAGATTGCGCAGATAATTTAGGCTATAATGTAAACTTGTGTTTTCGTGGGGTTTTTTTGTAAAAGACTCCCAATAATCTCTGCTAGCTTGCCGTACGATCCATTTCGGTTTTGTTGTAGAAATTTAATATTTGTCAAATTGTGGCTCAGTGAATCTCAATTTTTGTTTTCTTGATTTGTTCGTGAAAAATCTCCAATAATCTCTGCTAGCTTGCCTTCTTTTTTGGTCTGATTTTTTTATGAAAATCTATAAATCATTTGTAAAAATCTCTGTTAGCCTGCCGAGCTAATCTAAACTTCTGTTTGAGCAATTTTATGTTGTAGAAAAATCGCCAACGATCACTGCTAGCTGTGCCTAGTTTCTATTCCGTGTTTTTGAATAATTTTTCAAAGAATCTGGGCTAGCTCCCCCAGCGAATCTTGAATTTTGCCGGTTTCTTGATCCATTTTTACATCGTTCCCCACTTTTGTTCTTTGCCGCAATTGGGGCGGCTCATTTCCGGGGGCATCCGGCCATCATCCTCCCATCGTCATCATCATCCAGCGGAATTCTAAACTCCATCCCAAAAAGGGGAAAAGGGAGAAAGAACAAGAGATCCAGGCAGAAAGGGCCGTGTTTTGGGCATCTGGCTCGCCCCAAGAGCAAGATCTGGCCCCGCCCCCAACAGCGATCTGCTCTTCAAGGAGGGCCAACTCACCCTCAACGGGATTCCTGTCGTCCCACAATTCTATTAGGCCGCCTAGATCGACTACGCTACTAGATTCAGGGCCAGAATTCTGAGGCCGAGCTTCTGAGGAGCTCCAGATTTTCTCTTCTAAAACAGGGCTAAACCGATTTGGCGGAGTGCCAAGAGGAGGAGGAGAGCCAGATATGCGCCACCTCACTTGCTCAAACCTGGCCACCGAGCCGCACTCCCCGGTGGAAGACCCGAGGACCCACATGTCGGCCATTGTCCTGCTGCACCCATCTTCTCCCACCCCATCGCAGGAGAGCCAACCGGTGGGCCCACGGTTGTCGACGAGCTCGCTGCCCGAGAATTCGTGCCGCGAGACCAGGCAGAAGATCTATAGGTGCGTGCATTGATCTACGGCGTTGTTTTAAAAAACCCTAGTTTTTTGGGGTTTTAAAGGGACCTGGAAGGCAAGGATCTATAAGTTTGTGCATTAATGAAATTTTGATCTACCCGCTTTTTGTAGCGTTTGAAAGGGAACTGTAAGGTATAAAATCTGTAGTTCGTAACTTGAGATTTTTACTGGAAAAATAAAAAACGCTCAAAACGCTTAACATTCACGAAAAAATCCCGTTTTTGTATACCCGCCTCTTTAAAGGGACGAGAAAGGCATGATTATGTATTTTTTTTGCTATGGATTTGATTTATATGTGGCTTTTTGAGCGCGGAGGCTTGCCTTGCCCGCCCCTTTAAAAGCGGTTTTTAGACAATTTGCGCCTATTTTTGCCAGCGTTTTTTGGTCTTTTATTAATTGTGTTCCGCGTGCCTTGAAAAACGAACTGTTCTGTAATCTGATCCTAGTCTGCCAAAATCCGGGTTTTCCGCGTGGGTACTCCGGAATTAAACCGGAATCGGAATTTTAAATTTGGCCTGAATTTATGCTCAAATTCAAGAGGTTCGGTGTTTCTAGGTTGCTTGAAACCACGAAAACTGCTCGATTTTGCGATTTTTGGCTCAAACCACAACTTCAAGGTTCTTCTTAGAGAAAATTTAATCGCTAAAATGACTTCCAGGTCCCTTTAAACCGCGAAAAAAACGAATTTTGCTCTCAAGCCACAACTCCAAGGAGTTCAGCAGCCTTCAACGGCCCTTTCAAAGCACCCCAAAATTCTAGGCAATGGTCCCCGGTCCCGCTGGCCGATCGGCGATACCAACGCCGAATGTTCAACAGCCAGCTCTCCACCAATTCCAAGCCGACGTCTTCGAGATGTTCGCTCCTTCTCCCCGTCTCCAATCGTCCCTCGTCCTCCTTGAGCACGCTGGACGTCCCCCTGTCCCCCAGATTCTCGCCAAAATCCCCCGGCCAAAGAATGAGGCTTTCTTTTCAAGCCTCAGCTGGTTCCGCGTATTCCCAGGCTACAACTTCTATCATTAATTCGCACGGGTCGAGGACGCTGGAGTCGAGCTATTTCCGGTATTTCTGCTCTCTTTTCGTGTTGATTGTCGTCACCTCGACGGTGGTGGCATTTCTGATAGTGTGGAAGACGAACAAGACGATCCACGATTGGACCCTGCAACCGCATCAATTGTATCAGTGACGCGTGAGTGGAGAGAGAAACTTCCGATGGAGTTTGGCTCGCTGAGCTGGACTGTTTGGAGTTTTCTGGCCTAGAAAAAAGCGTTTAAGAAGTTTTTTGGAGTATGTAAATTGATGAAGTGCTTCATTAAAATTGGTGGAACCTTGAAAATATACCGAATTTAGCGTGTCGACGTGTTTTTTTTTGAAATTTCAATCCATTTTTGGAGTTTGTTGCCGAAGAAAAAAGATCGACTATTTTTCTGGTTTAACTAGTCTTTTTGGACTTGATGTGAAGTCCAGAAAAGTAGGAATTGTTTCTGAAGCGGTTTCTTAAGCCGTTTTTGGAGTTTGTAGCTTTAAAATGAGCGCGTCTTTTTATCGAGTTTGTAGCTTATTTTTGAAAAGAGTATTTGAAGCTAGTTTTTGTAGATTGTCGTAATGTTGCTAATTTTCATGGAAAATGACCCGTTTATTTTTTTTTAGCAAATCTAGTATTTTCAGTAGCGCCTCAATTACGGGCTATTCAAGTTGCTACGTAGCAAATATACGTCGAAAACGAGGGTTTCTAGTTTTTTGCAAAAATTAGAAATTAGGATTTTGTAGGGTTTTTTGAATTATGAGTAGATTTTGGACGTTTTTCCCTGAATTTAGAACTGTCACCACCCCTTTAAAGCAATGCGCCAAAATTGGACGTTGAATTGTGATGGGTGGGGCTTCTCCCCAGCTGTGTGCGTGCGTGCAAATTGGACGAATTATCCCGGTGGTGGTGGTGGTCACCACGTTCTCGTAGGAGCAGCCGGGGAGGGAGAGGGGAACACGCGGCAAAACAACGGCACTTTAATTCTAGGGGGCCAGAATCTAGGGGGGAATGTGACCGGGTGGACCTGGGAATTTGCTGAAAATTTTGGGGCCAGAAAATTAAAATTAAAATTTATAGTTAGCAAATTGTTAATTAAATAACGAGAAAAATTAATGTTCTTTTTTTCAGGCGACCGACTTGAGCTACCTGTGCTCGAATGAGGAGCCGTCGAAGCTGTCCGTCCAGATGCAGCTCGTCACCATGCAGGTGCGCAGCAATTTTTGGAAAATTAAAATATTGTTTCATTTTTAATTTTTCGTTTAATTTTTTAATAGCTTTATAAATATTTAAAATTATAAAGATTTTGATTTTTAATGGTGATTTTTGGTAACGATTTAATTTTCTGTTTCTAGTGGCTGACAACGAACCACGCGCTCGCCTTCTCGTCGGAGGTGATAGCCTCGCCGGTGCTGGAGAAGCTCATCCGCCAACAAGTTCGACGGGTGCGTTTTTAAAGGGGGCAGAAAAGTGCGAATAGACCCCTGGACTGGACTAGGTCTCGACAACTACGGTGGTAGCACGTATCGTAGCTGACATTTGGCGTGTATCGTAGTTGTCGAGACCTAGTCAGTTGCAGAGGTCAATCCTCGCGCTTCAGAGTCCCTTTAAAATGGAAAATTTGATGGTTTCTGCTGGTTTTCGTTCAAATTCGCGTCACGAATTAGGAAGTAATTTCCCGAGGTGATTTCCTGGATCAGGGCCAGGTTGAATTTTGTTCTCCTCGGCTCACAAAAAAGGCAAAAACATCCGGGATTACGCTTTTTGGACTTTAAATCCTCTCTCATTCGGAAGAATGTACTAGCCAGGGAATACGTTATGGACTAGTATTTAGATCAGGGCTATAGCTATTTAATTTAATTTTTCTCACATCAGTTAATTTTTGAGTGGATTTCCCTAGTTTAATTCAATTTTTTAATCTCAAATTCTTCTTAGTGGAACAAATTTTCATCTCAATGGTAAAATTAGAGGCAATTGCCAACATGACGCGACTCAATTTTAACACTAGCAAATGAAGAAGCCGTTTCTGATCTCGACCATGTTAATGAATGAGGGAGGGAAGGGAGCAGAGAGCGTCCACCTGGGAATTCTATAATTTCTCGGACCCACGGTCCAGGAAGTGTTTTTAACGGAGGGTAGGGTGGATGGGGGCCCAAGAATACCTGAGCCATCGCTCATGATGCGGGAATTTATTACGGGTTTCTGGTAGCTTTTTTTGGGCCTGGAGGACCCGGGGAATTTGGGAAATCTACGGTAGAAAATTAGAGAAATTTGGGAACAATTTGGCCGGGGGATTTAGCAGTTTTTAATCTACTCAAAAAATAAACAATGGGAAGGTGAATATTCATTCTGTTCTTCAGGTGGAACTATCGCACCTTCCCGACATGTACGACCCGAAGGCCGTCATCCCGCGCACCGCCAAGATCTTCACCAAGGGCGAGTTCAGCGACCGTTTCGTGCTCATCCTCGAGGGACGCGCGCTCGTTACCATTGGACAGGTAAATTATTTTTTACAGAAAATTTGCGCAAAACTTGTCCTGGATGAATTCTGGCTATTTTGAAAATGAGGATGTCAGCGGGATTTCATCGCGTAATCAATTTTCTAGATCTCCAAATTTGACAATTTTTTTAGGCGAAAATTCTGACTTTTTCTGACCTTTAGAAGTCGCTGGAGATGAAATATAGCGGTCTTTCTTTTCAGGTTTTTCATATTCTTGAATTTGATTTTGTTATGTCCTTTATTTCATAAAATAATTGATTTTTAATATTTTTATAAATCAAAATAAATGAATATTTCATAATTTTTTAAAGGCTTACTGTGTATTTTCGGCTTTTTTAATCGTCTGAATCTTTGAAAATTCATTCTCTTGATTTTTCGACATCATTTCAACTACAGGCTTCACGCGCGAACTTATTTTTCACTTATCAAATTTTTTACCCTGTCTATCGGCTGTCTTTTTGATGTGTTGCCCACCCTGATCTGGGGAAACCCCTGTTTTGGTCTGGCGGCGAGTCAGCAGTCTCTCTCTCTCTCTCTCTCTCTCTCTCTCTCTCTCTCTCTCTCTCTCTCTCACTCTCTAACCTTTTTCATTGCGTCGTCGGCCAAAATAATAGGATGATCCGCCCGGGCCTAGCGGATCCGGAATGGAAAACGTGACCCGGGGAAGGGCGAACGGTCTGGCCACCTTGCCCGATCTTCTTGCACATTAATCCCCACGAAAAATTTGGCAAGAATGAAAAGTATAATAGTACTAAAGCAGAATTTTGGGGGCTACGAAAGCGGGACAGCTAACAGAAATCTTTTGGGAATTTCGCGAATTCATGAGGGCAAGCTATCAGAAATTTTTGGAGACTCGGTAAAGCAGCAAAACTGCCCGAGAAATTGAGTGTGCAATCTGGCACAAATTCGTCAAGAAAGCGTATCCTTGGGAAATTAGCAGAATCCCTTTAGCAAGTCAGCTAGCACAGAATATCTTTCGGAATTCACCAATGCGGACTAGCAGGGATTGTGAGGAAAACGTATTCAGTGCAACTTAGCAGAAACCCCGGTGGAATTCACGCTTTAGGAAGAAGGCTAGCAAAATAACTTTAGGAATTCATCAAGGAATGCATGCAGGCAGGGATTCTTGAGGAAAGGGCCAGAGAAATGGGCAAACCAGCAGAATCTCTTTCGCATTCCGCCAAGGCATACTAGCAGCGATTTTTGAACAAAAGCTTCCGACGGATAAATTAGCAAAAACCGTTTCGGGATTCAGTTAGCATGCGAGCAGCGATTTTATGGATTTTAGGAAGTTGATTTGGAGGTTTTACCGATCAAAATCTGAATTTTAGCTAATTTTTCCATTGCAGGACCAAATGACGTTCGAAGCCGGGCCGTGGCACGCGTTCGGCACCGAATTGCTCGAGCGACTGTGCGATCATGTCGTGGCGGAGAGCAAGCGTCCGTTGAAGTAAGAATTTTCTATATATTTTTATCCCGTAACCGTTTCCAGCGGTAGCCGTTGCTCCCTGACCGATCGCCCCGAGCAGAAGGACCGCAAGATCGGCTTCACCCCGGATTATTCGGTGCGTTTTTCGGGGCCAGATTACGGTAGCTACAATAATAGTGATGCTGTAATTTTCCATGGGTTTTAGTCCAATTCGTTTGAAGTTCATTTTCACGATTTTGGCCGTAGAAATGTTACAATTTTGGGGCTACGGTGGTTCTAGTTTAATTTCCAAGGTTTAACTTGCTTTTTAAATAGATTTTTACTTTTTTAAAAAAGTATTTCATTTTCCATTGGATACGGTAGCTTAGAATTTCACTTCCTGGTCTTATACCCGACATCCAGGGGCGTAGCTAGAAAAAAATTTCGGGGGGGGCCCCCAAAAAATTTTTCCAAAAAACTCAAAAAATGGCCGACAAAACAGCGCCGCAGGCAAAAATTTTTGAAAGACAGGTTACATAGCTCTACAAATAGCCGTAAAAACGTGAAAAAATAGCGCCGCAGGCAGCAAAATTTTTGAGAAAATAAAAATCATAAGGGTCCGCCCTTATGAAATTTTCGGGCCCCGGCCGATTTCGGGGGGGGCCCCGGGCCCCCGGGGCCGGTATTACGCTACGTCCCTGCCGACATCTGATGACTTGAATATTTCGAAAATCCGTGGGAGCTGCATTATCAAATGCCCCGCAAAATCGGGTGACTAATTGTAATCTAATCCGCGCGGATTTCCCCAGGTTTTTAAGGTATACGGTGTATGCCTATAAGCCGGGTGTACTTCGGGGATTTTGCAGGACAAGAATTTTATGCTACCGCCACCTGTCACGCTTTTAATCTAAAAAGTATAATCTGGAGAATCGTGACCTAGGTGGGAAACTACAGGGTGTCCCAAAAAAAACGAACCATCTGGCATTTCGCCGTGTTACATCGAATCGGTCCCAAATTTGGACCAGAGGTGTATCAGACCCTAAATAACAACAATCCTGACTTTTAGCCCCGTAGCTACAGTCGTTCTCGAGTTATAACGAAAATACTGCTTTTCCCGGAATTCTGAACAGTTTTTTCGGCTATCTTTTTGGACTTTGCATCGATTTGCATCGACTTCCGGCTGCGAATCCCTAATTTCGCTTAAGAACTTGGGTAATTTTGCGTTGTAAAAATCGCTTAAATCGAAGATTATTTAATTAATTTTACTCTGGAAAAAATTCCTTAAGGTAAAGGACGCCTTCCGGGTCATTTTCATTTAATGTTTAGAGGGTCTAATTCGACGAAAACCCTATGAAAAATAGAAAATAAAGTTTGTTTTTGCCATAACTCGAGAACTACTGTAGCTACGTGGCTATAAGTCAGGATTGTTGTTATTTTGGGTATGATACACCTCTGGTCCAAATTTGGGATCGATTGGATGTAACACGGCGAAATGCCAGATGGTTCGTTTTTTTTGGGACACCCTGTATAATCCAAAAAAAATGATTTTCTGGCTGAAAAATGGGTCTTTGCAGGCCGTGGCCTTTGATGCTTTATGGAAAATTTTATTCAACTGTTGAAAAATACCTAAAATGACGTTTTGAAGGCGCTGGAAAATATAAAATTTACGTCGTGACGTCCCTGCCATGTCGTAATCGATGCAGAATTAATAAGAATTTGAGTCTAGCAAATATTTGGATCGACTTTTACTCGTTTTCAAAGTTGGTTCATGTTATTTTAAAAATTCTAGACACAAAAATTTTTATAAAATTCGATAGCTTTTATAAAATTTTTTCGAATTTTTTTGGCGGTTTCGATGATTTCTGACATAATTGGAAAAATAAAAAAGAATTGAAAAAAATTAAAACAAAAAAATGGCGCTTTAAAAATTTTTGGTTTGGCAAGCGAATTATGGCCATTCTGATCAATAGAATATTTTTGTAAAAATTTGATAATTATTCAAAATCGGGTAATTGATTAAATTATGCTTTTAAAAGCTGGCAGGGCAAATTTGGTATAACTTCCCGATTTTCAGGTGGTCGTCCGCGACGATTGCACATTCCTCGAGATCTCTGCCAACCACTACGAGCTCGCCTACAAGACGTCACAGATCTCCAAGACCACTGCAAGGTAGCTTTTTTGCATTTTTATGGCCGTTAAAAAATTTAATTTTTGCTTAAATTTTCCAAAATTTTGGCCAGGGCCGAGACGTTCAGCTTCTGAAAGTGAAAGGGCACCAAGAAATTCCGGAAAATTCTGAGTTTTTTGGATTTCGGAAATTTGGCGGATGCACTTGTGTTCTAGGCAAAATATACAATTTTTCATATGTTTTTGCTTTAATTAACAAAAAAACTTGCACCCAGCATCCGCATCTGCACCCACCCACCACTAATCGTGTCCGTATTTTTGTCCGTTTTTTGGCTGCCCTCGTTTGTGCCCGGGTTTTTCGGCGGGTGGAATTTAAAGGGAGCCTGACAGCAGAATTATGTAAATTTCAAAGTGATTTTTAATTGGAAAATCATGAGTTTGAAATTTACTGAAAAATTAATTTTTTTTTAAATTTCGATTTGCATTGAATTTTTTTTTATTTTCATCATCGATTAAAAAAATAGAATTTTTGGTTAAAATTTGAATTTGTGGAAAATTTAATTTTAAGGGTTTTGTTGCTGATAGAGTTTAAATTAAATTCTTGCTGTCAGGCTCCCTTTCACAGCCTAGCCGTTTTTTGGATCGAAAAACGTAGCGTGAATGTCTCTCTCGGGGGGGCCCCTTTCCTGTTTCGTGTCATGGCTTCTCTGCTCCTTTAAAAAGTATATTTGTGGGATTTTTGGACTCGGGTTATCGCTTGGAAAATTTGATGATGGAAGTTTCGAGGATCAAATTAATTTTTAGCCAATTTTTTTATTTTGCGCACACAAAAAATAAAAATCTGGCTAAACGATTTTCCGCGGCAAATTAGGTTTTTTCAGAATTTTCGATTTTTGCTTATCAAAATGTGTAAATTCTAGCGTTTTTATATAGAACTCAAATTTACAGCTGAAAGGAGAAAATAGAGCTTGAAAAAAATGTATTTTTAAATGAATAAAATATAATTGTAGAATTTTCCTAATGGCATTTCCAGCTAAAAAACCGTTGGATTCAAAATTTTTGGGTATTTTTGAATTGGAAATTGATAATCTGATTTTGCAATCTTTATGTCCAAGCGATCTTTCAATTTTTTGGATTTTTTGCAGCTTAATAATTGAATTTCAAAAAGTTTTCCAATCGATATTTCGAGCTCAAAAATCCGTTAGAATCCAAATTCCGTGTCCCTCCCCTGTTGGCATCCCCTATAATCGTGCGTTGTGCCATTGTAGATGCCACACCCACCAGATGGGAGCCCGTCAACCCACAAGAGGAATCAAGTTGCGAAGAACATCTACATGCCCCGATACCCCGCTACTGCCCCTGGCCACGATGCTGATGCTCGACATTGCCGAGGCGGGCAGCCCGTGCTCATCTTCTTCGACATCATCACCTTCTGACACCTCAACGCCTGCCTCCCCTCTATTAATGCGTCGCGATTGAGAGGGTTGTGTGGTCTACTGTCCCCCTGAACTTCTTGGGCTCGTTGATCGGCTACAGGCTACAAAAATTAAAATTTCTGGGCTAAATTATTGTTTTTAGAGTATGAAGTTTTCAATTATAAGCTACAAACCACATTTTTTGGATTAAATTTCACCTTTTTTACATGAATTTTGGCGTCTAAAATTTAAACTACACGCTACAAAATGAGATCTAAAGTATCAGGTTGGAACGAAAGTTCTGTCGCCGAGATTTTGGAAGCCTGGCTAAAATTGTAGATAGTTCCATTCTGCACATGCGATATGTCATTTTGTAGGTCTCGGTCTGAATGGTTCCGGGAGGAGGGTCCTGGGCCCTCAAAATCAAGAACGGCCGAGATACAGGCCCAGGAAGATTTTTTCAAAAATTACGAGAAAGTGTTTTTGCAAGTTATCTCTGCATAGAGCAATTTGCATGCGATACCTTTAACGCGAATCGATAACTCTCGAAGAGTAGATATCGATAGATGTTGAGATCATCAAAATCGGGCATCAGATCGCCAAGATATGGTCCCTTGAAATTTGGGCCATTTCTTAGAACTTTTCTCTAAATCCCATACATTTCCAAAAATTTGACGGACAGGTGCCAAAAATTACCGCTTTATTTTTGGACTAGCGGAGCGGATTTTAAGAAAATGTATGGGAAATCGAGAAAAGTTCTAAGAAATGGGTGAAATTTCAAGGGCCCATATCTCGGCCATCCAGCGTCCAATTTTGATGATCTCAACATCTATTGATATCTACTCCTCGAGATCTATCGTTTAGCATTAAAGGTATCGCATGCAAATTGCTCTATGCAGAGATAACTTGCAAAAACACTTTCTCGTAATTTTTGAAAAATCTTCTTGGGCCTGTATCTCGGCCGTTCTTGATTTTGAGGGCCCAGGACCCTCCTCCCGGAACCATTCAGACCGAGACCTACAAAATGACATATCGCATGTGCAGAATGGAACTATCTACAATTTTAGCCAGGCTTCCAAAATCTCGGCGACAGAACTTTCGTTCCAACCTGATACATGCTAGAATTTTTCGCTAAACCCCTAATTTTTGTGTTGGTTTAAATTCTAGACTACAATCTACAGAATCGACCTAAAATGCAAGCTACAATTCATGGGTTAGTTCCTTATTTTTGCACCAATTTTTGACGTTATTAAATTACAAAAATTTTACTATTTTGTATTTATAATTTAAAATTCGAAATATCTCGATTTTTTTCAGGTAATTTTCGATTTTTGTAGTCCGTGGCCGAGCAAAATGCCCTTAAAATAACGCCGCCATTTTCTATGTATTTACCTGTATAAATTCCAAATTTAAAATTCCCCTATCCCCTCCGAAAAAATTGTCCAACTTTGATTGTCGCCGCCCCGGGTTTTTCAGTTGCCTTATTATGCTAATTTTCGAAACTCTGCCAAATATACCGTATGCTTTTCCCTAATTTCACACATTCCTCTGTACCGTACTCCTCATTTCCGTTACACCAAAAACTACAAAAATTTCCAAGCTCCGAATGTGTACATAGTAGCCGTTCGTTGTCTCTCGCGGTGGTCCCTCCCTGCCTCTAATTTCCCAAATTTCCTCCCTCTGTTTGCCCCCTGGTGTGTTTGCAGTGTGTGGGTTACGGTAGTTGCAGTGCGTTTCTAACTCCCTTCGGTTTCATTTTTCACCCGACTACTACAGTATACGCCAATTGACGCACCCCCACACAAATGCGCAATTTTCATTTGCCCCACAATATATTTATGAGCCCACGCCCCGGAAATAAAGGTTATGATTTTGTGGTTCTATGAACGTGACGGAAAATGAAAGGAGAAATTCGGGAAAATATCGATTTTGAAGGGACCCGAAATTTGGAATTTCATGGCGTAATCGGTTGGCAATGATACGTGGTTTTAGTACATGGAATTTTGCGTCGTTTTTCAAACCTAGTGCTCATCGAAGTGAAAAACCAACTAATAGTAATATTTTGTTTTTAAAACGTAGCCCACAGCGTTCAGAGCCATACGAAAAAGGTTCGTCGAGCGGGGACAGGATGGAGAGGGGGTCTCGGCACTCTGGCCCTCCCTCTGGCTGTCTGCCCCCACCCCCGCGCGCTTGAATCATAAATGGTGTGTACGAAAGATTAGCCCGGCTGTCTGCTATCGCGCGCCCCACCCCTCCCCTGCCTGTCTGCCCTCGCGTCTGCGCTCTAGAGCGCTCTGCATCCTGTACCCAGGGGAGGCCCTTTTCTGAACCATGTGAGCCGCCAGCTGAAAAGAGGAATTTCATAGCGTAATTGAATGCCAAACCTAATTTTTTTTCTGAGCGTTTTATATCACAAATAGTGATGTTTTCAAGCATTTGAAAGGTCTGGCAATTTGAAGCGTGTTTTTGCTGGTTCTTGCCAATTTAGAGATTTTAAAATCGTTAGTGGACCGAAAAATTGAGTAAATAGTTTTTAAATGGTATCCTCCTTAATTCGGTGGTCTCCAGAATCTCTGTGGGCGAGGGCCCGACCTCGAACATCATCCGCGGGCCGCTGATGACGGACAGGACGGGCAGCCAGAGCAGCGTCAGCAAGGGGTGCAGCGCTAGAGATGTGAGTTCGTCACCATTTTTTTTATGGCATCATATTTGGTAAAGAATTAATGGAATTTTGGGCCTTCTAAATTGCCAAAAATCTCCATACCATTCAAGCTTTTCCCTCGATTTCCAACTGCTGAGGATCCGGCGAGCCAGACGGGCCAAATTGAAGTAATTTATGATCTCGAGCTTCTGTGGCTTTTGTATAAAATACGCTCTCAAATTGAAAATTCGGGTTTTTAGTGTTTCTTTGCTATCAAAATTTAAAAATGCAATCTTTCGGCATTTCCGACCCTTCAGATTTCAAAAAATTGTTGAAATTTTTTCAACAATAAAAATTCTATTTTTTTTGGGTTGATTTTCAGCTTTATCCGCATTATTGTGCCCACAAAAGTCTGCTAAAAAATGAGTAGCGACCATTTTTGAGTTGGTGCAGCGCCTGAAGTTCCGCCGAGGCACCTATGTCTGATTTCGAGACAGGGCGTAAGTTAGTGTCCCCGGTTTGGATGGTTACTGTATCATTTTGTAGCACCGGCCGGTCTCTCAAAAACCAAATAAACCGACGCTATTCTTTAAATCTTTGAATTTAACTAAGAAAAGCTAAGATTAATTTTTAATTTTTACAATTTTGTAAATTCACAAAAATTGTATCAGATTTTTTAAAAATTCAGAGTTATGGAAAATTTCGAACAGATGTTGGAATTTTACAAAATTTAAAGGGAGAATTCAGTTTTTTGAGGCCTGGAAGTTTAGTATTGTTCAATTAAGTTTTATTTAGCTAGGAATTAGCCGGTTGGTAGCTTGAAGCATTAGTATAAGATTTTAATAGAGCCCAAATTTGCTGGCGTGCCCCATATTTGTCGTGCGATGCTTCCCGTATTACTGTAGCTATTTATGAGTGGCTTTTTATAGAATCTTTCGAGCTGAAAACCGTGAAATTTAACAATTGGTAGTCTTTGCGCTGCTTCCCATAATAATAATATTTTCATATTTTTCGTTATGAATCTATGACGTTGTGTTTCAGCTGGATCCGGTGGAACGAGTGAAGAGGAATGGAGGGGGAAAGATACGATCTTCTAGTGAAAGTGAACAGGTGAGAGAGGGACAAAGAGAGAGAGAGAGAGAGAGAGAGAGAGGGAGAGAGAGAGCTAGAGAGAGAAACTGGCTAAAGGTACGGTGACACTTGCCGGATAACGGACCGTAATAAGGAGCCGGGCGCTATGGTCCACTCCTTTGTACGCTAATCCCTTGTTTGGCGTACAAAGGAGTGGAACGGAAATTAGGGGCAAAGATTGAAGATCGGATACTAAGGAAATGCCAAAAATAAGGGAAAATTCGATCTTTTCGATAAATCCTTTCTAAGAAGATTTTCGAGAATCATAGAAAATCCGAATCCAGAATTTTAGAAATTTTTGGCAGCGACAGGAAAATCCATAATTTAAAAAGAACTAAGCTTCGAAAATTTAAATTTAAATTTAGAAACGCAGGAAACTACTTTTATTACATTTTCGCATTTTTCGGTGCTTTTAAATGTTTGTAAAGATTCTTAGACTAAAGATTAAAAAAATTAACATTTGATTGAATACTGTAGATTTTAAACATGATTTGAAGATAATTTTAGACGGAGCTGCTCCCTCGCTGTGATTTCCTGTCCCCTCGCGATGGGTCGCTGTTCTCCGAGGAATCCGGCCTGTCCGATGCATAAAATACACCACTGCCCATCGTTCCCTCCCGAATATCCTGGTTTAGCCTAGTTGTGTGGGTGTGTGATTCTGTTGCCATATGCAGATTAGTCAAACCGGAGAGATTGCAGTGTTAAAAATCTAGAAAACAGTTTTTAAAATGTCCAAAAAACCCAAATTGCTCAACTTTTCAGAAATTATTTGTATGCGATTTTTTAACATTTAAACGGCCGTAGAAGTAATCAAATTTTGAAAATTCTGATGTTTGAAATACTATGCATAAATTAAATTAAATTACACCCAATTATCTACGTTTTAAAAGACCAGTGAAGCTAGATTTCCACAGGGTCCGTGGTAAAAATTTGAAAAGAATTTTTTAAAGGGCCTTAGAAGCCAAATTTCAAATCCCAATTCCCGTCCCCCGCTTTTTTCGGCCAAATGTTAGCGCCCAGTCGGTGTCAATGGCAGCGCGCCCGCGCTCTATATCTCGGCACGATTCTGGAAAACCGGTGTGTTTTGGAGGCGAGAGAGAGAGAGAGAGTGAGAGAGAGCGACGCTAAAGACTCCCCCAAAAGCCCCGAAAAAGGCGAAAAGGAGGGATCCAGATTGAGCCTCCCCCTTTCGAAGCTTTTGAGCAAGAGCCATAGCCAAGAGTGTGAGCATGAGCCACCCCCAGCTGTGTGTCCCGACTCGATCCTTTTCTGGCGGCGAGAAAAACGGCTCCAATTTCCCCCCTGGTGAACGGTGGCTTCCAACCGTGAAAATCGCCCGTGCGGCCGTCCGGTCTCGTTTTGGCCACTTTTCCTCTTCGGTGAGGTTGGAGGTTGCACTTTAGGATTGAGAGAGTCGCATTTTTGGCGTGTATTTTGGCTTCTATGGCCCTTTAAAAGCGCCTCTTTCAACCGTAAGCCTGAGTTTCGGATGTGAATTTTGGACTTGAACGGACCTTTAAACGTTTTTTTTTGGCTACAGTACGCCGTCAATTCGATATTTTGAGGCGAGTATTGATTTTAGACTGTGGACTTTTGACTTCAACGGTCCATTAAAGACGCTTTTTACTACCGTAAGCCTCAATTTTGAGATTTTTAGATAGAAGTGAGGTTTCTGTTGTGGATTTTTTACTTCTATGGTCCTTTAAAACCTGAAATTTGAGGTTTTTGACTTCTGTGGTCCTTTAAGAAGCTAATTTACGGTTAGAAAAATTGTGCAAAAAAGCAGATTTAGCGTAATGTATTCTGAAAAATTTGGAAAGTATAAAAATAATTTTTGAAACTGGAAATATTACGTTTTTATTGGTTTCTTTCCTCCCATTTGACTAGTTCTACTGTAGCTTAAATTAGCAATTTTGCAATATTGGCAATTTTTTAGCTTTATTTTTATTAGCTTTATTTGGCATTTGGCATTTCCCTCCATCGAAATCCATCATTTTTGCATTCCCCAGAATCTAAAAAAATGCATTTTTCTAGCTAGTCTGAATTTTAAGCAATCAAAATAATGTTTATTTTATTTTATTGCTTTTCCCAGATTTTGTGTCTCCACCGGTTGCCTGCCCCTTTAAAAGCCTCGATTTATTTCATTTTTAAGGCTCAATAATTGTGTCAAAATAATAGCCCATTTTTTATGATAACAATGCTCACCCGGAAGTACCCTCGTCGATATATTTATCTAATGTATTGTATTTGTATTACTTCTGGAGAGTTGAAATAAATATATCTAGTTTCATGGTAATACAGATTACATAAAAAAACAAATACCAAAAATCACTGCTAGCACGCCTCATCCTCAATATTCTCTGCTAACCTGCCCGCTTTCTCAATGCTCTTGGCTAGCTTGCCCAATCCATTCGGCGTTCCTAAAGAATTTCTGCTAGCTTACCCCGCCTTTCAACGTGTTCCTAGATAATCGTTACTAGCTTGCCTGAACGAAAAAAAATTGGATTTCAAAATGGTCTTTTCTCGCTGCACCAGTTTTCGACCATTTCCTAAAGTGTCTCTGCTAGATTGCCCCAACATCACATTTCCTCGATCTGCTAAATGATCTCTGCTGGCCTACTACGGCTTTGAGCATTTTCCTAAACAGTAGCGGCTAGCTTGCCTGAACATATGATTTTCTCGGTTTCCCAAAAAATTACTGCTAGCTTGCTTCATGCGCTTCAATATTTTTTTCATGTAGACCGTCCTTTAGCTTACCGACACGTAAAAATACGCTGGCATCTCCTGGATGTTTTCAACTAGCCCGCCCTGACCTTTAGACTGCTTCAGAAAGCCACTTTGCTGGCTTGCCAAATGCAAAAATTTTTACTGTTCCGAAATAATCTCTGCTAGCCTACTCGACCTTCTATCGTTTCCTAAAGGTTCTGTGCTAGATTACGCCAACGTGGCATTTTGTTGGCTTTCCAAAGCGCCTCTGCTAGCCTAAGAAGGGCTCTTAAAGGATCTCTGCTGGTTTGCCAGAAGAGAAAAGTAAAGATCGATTGATCAAATGATTTCTGCTAGCCCGCCTTATCCATTCCTTTGTCGCGTCGTTCCAGATTTCCCTTCGTTACATAAATGATCTTTGACAGAGTGACTACACCGGGTTTCCCGACTACGGGCGGTTCCGGATGTTAGATGAGGCACGATACGGGATGAGTAGTAAAGGGGAAACTAGCAGAGATCTTTTGTCGGGATGGGAGTGTCGTTTAGTGAGAGTGTGACTGATAGAGTCACTACTGACTACCATACCTTCTCTCTCTCTCTCTCTCTCTCTCTCTCCCTATCTCTCTCTCAGCCTCTTCGGTCCATAGAATACCCGTATGTCCTCCCTCTTTCCCTCTTTTTACTACGCTATACTCCTCTATACTCTATGCCACCCCATACAAGGATTATACTGCCCATGGCTATCCACCGGCCATTGTTGCCTTACTTTCTGGTTCTCCCATGTATTTTTCGTGTTGCGAGGTGTACGTCGTAGCCCCGGGGCATTTTTGAGGTGATGCTCAATACTGTTGACTCAGAAGTGAGGAGTGTGACCTTGAGATTATTGCCTGGGGCAGTCTGTCGCTTTTGCCATTGACATTCCAAACTACGATTTGGCTTTTCGACCCTGATGGTGATGATGACTCACTGCGATTTCTGCTTGATCTCGACCTTGCACGTCACCGGTTTATAAATGAGACGCTGATGCGAGTATTAGCTGCTGCTCAAATTTTTTGGGGTTTAGAACACGAGCTTTATACTTTCCTAACTCTTTATCCACTTTCACCTCAAAAAAAATCCTGCTCCTCATCTGGTTCTTTCCGTTAAGTTCGATCCTCCTCCTTAATTTTACGGCTGCCAAGTTCCGCCAGCCGGCTACGCCTAATTTTACGGCTTTTACGGTCTGGAATTCGTCTCGTTTGGAGCCTGGCCAATCGCCAAAATATCGGATACGATGGTTTGGATTTGCAGTATTCGGGTCGCGTTTTCCTTAAAAAAATTCTGCTAGTTGACCTATGCCTCCTCCAAGACTCATTGCTGGCCGCCTTTCCCTTTTTCTGAAGCTTGCGGCGAATCTCGCTGTTTTCCACAAAGAAATTCTGCCAGACGGATTTTCCAAATGACAATTGCTAGCCAGCCTACCACGTTTTAGTAAAGACTCTCTGCTAGTTCTCCGCACCCAATTTCCACAAAGGATTCTTATTAACCTACCGTTTTCGCCCTTTCCCCAAGAATCTTTGCTAGTCTTCCACTAATTCCGCGCTTTTCCTAAAGAATCTCTGCTAGCTAGCCCTGCAACCATTTGTTCAAGACTCGCTGCTAGATACCTCAGAAATTCGATTTCTTTTGCCTTCTCAAACACTTTAAAATCCCCGAGCACCCCCTCAGGCTTGATCTCTCAATCTGCGCTTGAGCCGTCTGTTTCCCCTCGAAAATCCCCTTAAAAAAGTGAAAGAGGATGTGTGTTGGATGATGGCACGAGGGGGAGGGATGTCTTGCTCAGATGAAGATGGCACTTTCACTCGATTGAATGTCACATTCTCTCTCTGTCTCTCTATCTCTGGCTCGCTCTCTCCCTCGCATTATGTTTCGGTTCATTCCCCTATTCAGCGTCTTATATGCACTTTCGCCTCAGACGTAGCGAGACGCGGCCATGGGCAGAGAGAGAGAGAGAGAGGGAGAGAGAGAGAGAGAGTGACAAAGACCCGTAGGTTTTTATCGTTAGCTTGATACAAAAAGGCTCTATCTGTCTCTCTCTCGCGCTATCTCTCTCTATCCCCTTCGCTCTATTCCTCACGTCGTAATTTCGAGTTTTCAACGCCTATCAGCGAGTTTTCGGGCTGAACAGCTTGAAAACGTCGTTGTAACTCCGTATAGAGCCATTACTTCATTAACGCATCGCCAGACAAAAAAAATACACAAAAACGTGATCTAGAGAAAACAACGTCTTCACATACTCCCCCATCCGCTTCTCCCCCGTTTTTCGGGCAGAAAACACGTTTAGAGCCGTTGATGGGTGTGCGGAAACTCCGCCTATAGTCTCTCTCTCTCTCTCTCTCTCTCTCTCTCTCTCTCTCTCTCCCACTCGATCTGCCAATGTCACACTTCCCCTCCACCCCCACATTACCCACCCACCGGGCAGAAGCTCTGCTTTTTTCGGAGTTTCTTTGAGGTGATCAGTTCTAGTTTTCACGATTTTTAGGTTTTTTGACCTTTAAAGAAACTCGGATCCCTAACGAAGTATAGAAAGAAATCTTGAAGTTCAAAATTATGAATTTTCTCCTTAGAATTTTTGGTTTTTAAAGGTACTTGGACAGCTAGCGGAGCGAAGAAATAAAATTTGCAATTACAAGGCACGGGCGTTGTTTTTAATTTAATAGTAATTGGAAGGCTAGAGAAATGGACAAATTTCGAAAAAAAAACAGAAAAACGAATGTTGCCTGTTTTGAGGGGGATTTTCGCTTTCCTAAAGAATCGCAGCTTGTAGCTTTGTGTTTATCTTTCTATCATGAAAGTCAGGGTTTATACCCTTTTGCGATTTTCTTACACGTTCTATTTTTTTAAACTGATTTATTTCGTGCACATTTACATGATTTATGAGGATATATAAAATGATTTTAGGAGAATGTTGCGGGTATGTTCGATCCTTCTCCTCCTCCTCGGTATCATTAATGCGCAGCCTCCGCCCGGCGGATTCCCGGCCGGAGAGGTCAATGTCGATAAGATTGGCCAAAGTGAGTGGGGATTCTGATTGTTTTAAGATTAACCTTTTTTAAAATCATGATTGAATGATTGATTTTTTTAAGAAATTTTGATACAACATTCTTAAAAATCATTTTTCTCAACAAATCTAAATTTTTTTCATGCTTGAGTTTTCAATTCACGTTTTTTCGCCGTTAGCTGTCCTTTCAAATCCTTCTATTTTAATTTTTAGGGTGACTGTTAGTTGTGCCGCAGGATTTAGCAGAGAGAAAATCCTCGTCGGCAGGGGGAAGGGGGGATTTGGTGCATCAAGTAGTGGCCGACGAGGCGATCGAGGTGGAGATCCGCCCCTCTTTAGCCAGAGGATCTAGACGAGGAGGAAGAGCTCAAAAAATGAGCGTTGACAAACCTGTCTAGTGGCTCTTAAACCGTCGACATTATGCTGGAGATAAATCTGCATAAACACTCAAAACAGAAGGCCTTTTATGGCTTTGAAGAGGCCGCGAAAAACAGGAAAAATTCAATAGAAATACCGAAAATTCGTTTTTAACCCATGTAAAATACGATATTTTTAGTGTACGGCATCGCGACCCAACTGATGTCGTTGACGAACGAATTTATGGGAAATGGACGGGGTGGAGGAGGAGGAGGGGGATCGGCCGGGTCCTACCGAGAATCTGGATATGGTGGAAATAGCA